AGACACGAACATACATCCGAATCAGGAACCAAACAAAGTTTCGCTTGTAAACTGATCAGACACGAACATACATCCGAATCAGGAACCAAACAAAGTTTCGCTTGTAAACTGATCAGACACGAACATACATCCGAATCAGGAACCAAACAAAGTTTCGCTTGTAAACTGATTAGACACGAACATACATCCGGAATCAGGAACCAAACAAAGTTTCGCTTGTAAACTGATCAGACACGAACATACATCCGTGGAAACTGGACAAGAACTTTTTCAACAAATAATTACACGCAATTGAATTGAAAATGTTTTAAAGATACTTAGGGAAGGAGGTGTAAACAAAATATCAACAGAGCAGTTATAAACATTGAAAACGAATTTAGGGAAAGAGTTAAAAAAAAAGAAACATCTATAATGAACGATAGAGAACGACGGCAACAACAACGAATATTTGACACGTGTGTTTACGAGAAACAAACATATAATTATTGAACGTTTCGCAATATACATATTCCATCTCCAGCAAGGTACATTTAACAAGTTAAAAATATTAGGTACAAACATTTATAAAGTTCAAACATTTCGTATAGAGTAATCAGGATGAGGCGTTGTTGTTTGTGTACGAATTGTGAAGTCTGGTGGATTTGATAGTTGCTTACCAGCTTTTGTTGATTCTCCCATACGTTTGCAGGTTTAATTGGTGTATAGTTTAGCCAGTTTAAATGGCATTACAGCCAACACAGGGGTATTTGTACACGATCCTGGAACGCATAGGTGGAGGTAATCGGTCTTTAGACCTGAATAGATTTTGTGTTTTGAAAGGGGATTTAAATATCATTTGTAGTTTAACCCGAGAATAAAAGTTTTAATTATCTTTAAAATTTGTGACTTCGTTAAGAAACTTTGTTTATCTAAAAAAGAAGGAACGATCAGTCTTTAGATTTTTTAACGTTATAATTTTCAGACTTTCAGCTGAGCCACTGGAGAGCCAAATAAAATTGTATGTTTTTTTTTTTTTAAAGAGATTATATGATTTATATGGAAAAAAAGCATGAAATAACTTTTGTGAAAATAAGACAATGTGATTTCTGTGAATGTTTTATCGTAACACGTAAGGTGATATAAATTATTTCGTTTATAGTTAAGATTTTATCAATTTTATGGAGATGAGATAGTAGCCAGGAATATTCCGATCCCCTCATTATAGAACAGAGAAATTAAGGACAGCGTTTCCTCTGATGTCTTTCTATATTAGAAGGGGGATTACAAAATTAGATAATGGAGTATTTGAAAAGTCTACAAATATAGAATATCAGAAAAAAAAGTTCATTATATTTCCGGTTTTTTTACTTTTTTCCTGACCCACTCATTTCTTCGACCTCCATAACTTGATTTCTGTCGGCTATTTACATATCTCTTGTTTGTTTTGGACATATTTACATTAAAGACCAATCACTACACTTGAGAAATGCTTAAGCACGTTTAACCACTGTTAGTTCTTTTTAGGCCTAAGCATATTTGATCAGTTAATTTTTGTTTGTAGGCTTAAGCATGTTTGATCACAGTTAATGTTGTTTATAGGCTTAAGCACGTTTAACCACTGTTAGTTCTTTTTAGGCCTAAGCATATTTGATCAGTTCATTTTTGTTTTTCTTTGTAGGCTTAAGCATGTTTGATCACAGTTAATGTTGTTTGTAGGCTTAAGCATGTTTACTCACATTTAATGTTGTTTGTAGGCTTAAGTATGTTTGATCACAGTTAATATATATATGTATTGTATAATAACGAAAATACAAAAGGTGTGTGAACATCGTTTTTTACAATCATGTTAATTTCATAATTTTCATCTAAAGTAATAAAGAATTTATCTTTTAGTTCGTTCTTTCAATATTTCTTCAGTTATTTTAAAAACGTTAACTATCCTTCACAGACCAAGTTCTGATTTTTTATTCTGTTCTGATTTCGTGTTTACAATGTAGTGTAACCTGCTTTTGTTTCTGTAGCAGGATAATTACATACTCAGGACAAGAAACTACTCTCAAACCCAGACGCTAAACCTAGATAGAACTCACTGAACAACTTTGAAGAAATAAAAACAAAAAACTTTATATTGGCAGGTGGAAATATTTTATGCTTTTCCACATTGTACATTTTAATGTGATCTCAAAATTTCACTGTTGTGTCTTCAAAATCCCCATACTAATTGGTATGTCTTTGTTATGTTTATTTGCAGTGATAAGAAAGGAACCATTATATATTTCGGATATATTTTTTTTCTCTTTTGTGCACTAAAGTTATACCTGAAACGAGTTCTACTTTAGATTAAAAAGAACCTCCCCCCCTCTTCCAGACCTGGCTACGGGTTTGCCGGTAGCTGAGATACAGAAACTTACTAACAGTATAACACACAACACCCATAGTTGAGGAACTGATATTTACTAACAGTATAACACACAACACCCATAGTTGAGGAACTGATACTTACTAACAGTATAACACACAATACCCATAGTTGAGGAACTGATACTTACTAACAGTATAACACACGATACCCATAGTTGAGGTACTGATACATACTAACAGTATAACACACAATACCTGTAGTTGAGGTACCGATACATACTAACAGTATAACACACAATACCCATAGTTAAGGTACTGATACTTACTAACAGTATAACACACAATACCGGTAGCTGAAGTACTGATACTTACTAACAGTATAACACACAATACCCATAGTTGAGGAACTGATACTTACTAACAGTATAACACAATACCCATAGTTGAGGAACTGATACTTACTAACGGTATAACACACAATACCTGTAGTTGAGGTACTGATACTAACTAACAGTATAACACACAATACCCATAGTTGAGGAACTGATACTTACTAACAGTATAACACACAATACCCATAGTTGAGGAACTGACACTTACTAACAGTATAACACACAATACCCTTAGTTGAGGTACTGATACTTACTAACAATATAACACGCAATACCCATAGTTGAGGAACTGATACTTACTAACAGTATAACACATAATACCCATAGTTGAGGAACTGATACTTACTAACAGTATAACACACGATACCCATAGTTGAGGTACTGATACTTACTAACAGTAAAACACACAATACCCATAGCTGAGGTACTGATACTTACTAACAGTAAAACACACAATACCCATAGTTGAGGAACTGATACTTACTAACAGTATAACACACAATACCCATAGTTGAGGAACTGATACTTACTAACAGTATAATACACGATACCCATAGTTGAGGTACTGATACATACTAACAGTATAACACACAATACCTGTAGTTGAGGTACCGATACATACTAACAGTATACCACACAACACCTGTAGTTGAGGTACTGATACTTACTAACAGTATAACATACAATACCCGTAGCTGAAGTACTGATACATACTAACAGTATAACACACAATACCTGTAGTTGAGGTACTGATACTTACTAACAGTACAACACACAATACCTGTAGCTGACGTACTGATACTAACTAACAGTATAACACACAATACCCATAGTTGAGGTACTGATACTTACTAACAGTATAACATACAATACCCGTAGCTGACGTACTGATACTAACTAACAGTATAACACACAATACCCATAGTTGAGGTACTGATACTAACTAACAGTATAACACACAATACCTGTAGTTGAGGTACTAGTACAATATTGTTGTCTTATTAGAGTGAACTACAAGTATTGTTTTACCCTTTACGTGGTTAAGTTAGGAATGTATTCAAATTTATGGACAATGTTAACTTTGTTAGAAAAGAACAGTACTGTTATTAAAAAGTACTTCTTATAAAAGTAGTTCAGTGTCGAGAAATTGCTGGAAAATATTCGAAAAAAAAAGCAGAATTTATTCATTTTATTTTTTTAAATTATTATTATTTTTTCAGTCACCACAGATTAGGAAGACGTTTACATACAACAACCATAACCATTCTCGTGGGGCTTGCTGTTTTCATGGTGATAAGAGACGTTTCAGCAGTTAAAGAAGTTGTAGATGGGGTAGGCTTACATCATGAAGTAGAAAAAAGACAAGCCTCGGGGCTGCTTCATCAAAGGTTATCACAAAAATCGAGACCAATCTCGATGACTCGAGGAGTTGGAGTTCGTATGCCTCTGATAACAATGGAAGAAATGAATCGTTTTATTCAACAAGCGAGCGAAACTGTAAAATATCGAGTTGAAAACATGGAGGCAAGGATTTTCCAAAACGGTTTGTTGTCCATGCTGTACAATGAATTTTTAACTCTTTATTATCGTTAATTTATTATTGTTTTAAAGTTGCATGTTTCTCTACACCACGTTGAATCCATGTCCAGAAAGTTTTGTTTGATTCTAAGTTTTAAGAAGCTGCATTTCAACATTATGTGTTTGACATGTGAAAAACGTTGTGGCGTCTTACTCAGGAGCAGATCTTGATCGCACAATACCTGACGTGCGGTAAGGATTCTAATAAATAAAAAAACAAAATAAACACGACCCGTGCTAACATGTACATCAGAGATCTAGTTCGTGAACGTTTTTGTTCATTGTATTGGTAGAAAGTCCTTATTCTAGTGTTCACTGACGCCATATTGTTTAGGAACTCTTCTTTTCTCTTTCGGTATTGTGTCAACTAAAACTGAACTCTAACGTATTGAATAAAGTATCATAAAATTTTCAGCCACTAAAGAATTTCACACTTCTTGATGTATCATGCGATTCTGGAAATGAGAGCGTCATGAACGTTCACCGCCTATTGAAACGTCTGAGGCCTAATAACCTCTAGTCACGTGTAATCCCGTTTCGAAACGTGATGCTCGTGGTCTAAACTTCACGTGAGTCTTATTCGTGCGACCGTGGGTGTTGTGTTAATGTGTGCATTTGCACGAAATATTTCAATCGAGAGTGTTTGCGACCGACCCTGAACAAACAAAAGGTTAAATGAATTGAACAATATTTAACATGACACCAGGTTAAGTGAATTGTACATTATTTAACATGACACCAGGTTAAATGAATTGTACAATATTTAACATTATACCAAGTTAAATGAATTGTACATTAGTTAACATGACATCAGGTCAAATGAATTGTACAATATTTAACATGACACCAGGTTAAGTGAATTGTACAATATTTAACATGACACCAGGTTAAATGAATTGTACAATATTTAACATGACACCAGGTTAAATGAATTATACAATATTTAACATGACACCAGGTTAAATGAATTGTACAATATTTAACATGACACCAGGTTAAATGAATTGTACAATATTTAACATGGCACCAGGTTAAATGAATTGTACATTATTTAACATGGCACCAGGTTAAATGAATTGTACATTAGTTAACATTACACCAAGTTAAATGAATTGTACAATATTTAACATGGCACCAGGTTAAATGAATTATACAATAGTTAACATTACACCAAGTTAAATGAATTGTACATTAGTTAACATGACACCAGATTCAATTAATTGTACAATATTTAACATGACACCAGATTAAATTAATTGTACATTAGTTAACATGACACCAGATTAAATTAATTGTACAATATTTAACATGACACCAGATTAAATTAATTGTACAATATTTATCACGACGCTAGGAAATGAATTAAGGAAAGTTTAATATTTTCATGCGATCTGAAGTTTTCTTTGTTGTTGTCATGGCTTTTTTGACTCTTGAAAACTGGCTTTAGTTTTGGGGTTTGTTTGATGTAGTCATGTATTTACGAAGAAACATGTTAAGCCTAATTTGTGTCTACAAATGAAATATTAATTTTTCCAACTTATCAAACTGAAAGCGTTAATAAATTGTCCTCGTTTCTCAAAATGTGCAATTTACGCAATGAAAAGAAGAACGAAAATAACCTTTTTCTTCTTCTTTAAACTGAAATGTGATTTAACACAAAAGTATCAAGAAAATCCCAACTCTTACTACACACTGTGTTAAACTTGTTGCCGGTCTTCTATTATCAGGACATTTTACTGACCCTCACAAACCTTGTTGTTCATTCGATGAGATGTTTTACTGACCATCGCGAACCTTTATGCGAATATACTTTTTTTTACAGGTGTTATACTGAATATTGTGAATTTCGTATCTACTTTTTTTAACCCGTTTTGCTAAGACTAATTTATTGCTCCGCGTTTCTAAGGTGCCATATTGAAGCCAGGGACTCCCGCATGGTTCGCTGCAGCTACTGCAAAAACTAAAGTCGTCGCAAAAAATCTCTCCCATCATGCTTTGGTTGCTGAGGAAACTACAAGGATCGTTGCTCAAAAGTAAGTTAGGCTTTAGAAGAATATATAACGCTTTTGGTTAAACTATTTAATTTTTCTCGCTGTTGGCAAATGATACTTCATTAAGATGTAGAATTTGCTGTGTTATTTAATAAGGTATTCATCCTGCCAAACGTTGTTCATTATTTCTTGAGTTTTTCTTCTTAACTGAAACGAAAATAAAGTTGATGAACGTTTCTGAGTTGTGATAATTAAAACATTCTGAAATCAAATTAGAATCTGTCATTTTCAATTCGATGTTTGATTAATATGGGAATAAATTGGGGATTTTTTTGTCTGTGTGAATGTGATCTTGTCTCGTTACGCCAGGGGTATGACATAATTTTTAATTTGTGTCTTTTTCTTCGTGACACCAGAGTGTAAGATAAAATCATTAGTGTGCTTCTCTTCGTGACACTAGAGGGTAAGATAAAATCATTAGTGTGTTTCTATTCGTGACACCAGAGGGCATGATAGGGTCATTAGTGTGTTTCTCTTCGTGACACCAAAGGGTATGATAGGATCATTAGTGTGTTTGGGACATCAAAGGGTAAGAGACAAAATTGTGTGTTTGGGTTTGTTCACTCGTAATAAGAGGTTAACATTTTTATGGTACCACAATCTTTTTTGACAAAGTTCCAAGTAAATATGTATAAAAATAAATAAACGTCATATTTATAATTAACTAGACCACCCGTGACCCGTTGGGTCACACACTATTCAGAGGTTATGAAGAATTCAAACTAATTTCAATATTGCACCGAAATGAAGGTTTATTTTGAGATCACTTAATTAAATATTTCAATCCATTCGTGTTATTCATAATTCAAGAAAAGATATTTGATTGTTGATCGGGAGTAAAAGGAAAGGTAGTTTCATTTTTCAGTTTATTTACAGTTGATTCAAAACGCCTGAAAATAAGAAATAACAGATAATAGTAATGTTATTCGTGGTTTATCAGAACGTGATTGCTATCAAAAACCAAAAAAAGCTATTTCAGAAAATATTTCATACTTACTTGCTCAAATTATTGCAAGAAACATCAAAACTTGATAATTGATACACTACGAAATTCACCAATTGGAAAATATTTCTCACTGTCTCACACCAAATGATTTTTTTTGACTGAGAAAATTTTCTCATTTCCTTACC